CCCGGAGGCCTGGGTTCAAGTCAAAACTAGTGCTTTGTTAGTTTCCACTCATTTTCTTCAGTTTCCTCCTCTGCTGTAGGGAGTGACTGTTGACAAATGAATTTTAAAGTACACACTCTGCCCTACAAACTTGTGTTAGAGGTAACAGAGTATACCTAGCTAATCCATGAAAGCACAGGTGCTCAAGCAGCGAAATAGACATAATGTGAATTTCCTCTCAACTGAGCTGGTCACACCTGCATAGACTGCCCAGCAGTGCTGACTGGTGAACACTGCTGTCTCACAGCTCTTTAAAACCCTGAACTGCTTTATTTGCTCCCTAGACCCTCTTCCGGACATCTTGGGGCGTGGTCTCTACAAAGACAGCCCAGCTTCACAAAATCAGACGCCTTGTCGCTAACACCTCGCTTACGTGAGTCTCCCCTTACGTGAAGTGAGCCCTAACATCATCCATTCATTCACTCAACAAATATTAACTGAATGCACACTAGTGCATTCTAAAAACACAGAGAAAATACAAGAATAAATCATTTTCACCCTAAAGGAAGCTACAATTTAGTAGGCACAGAGGAATGCGGTTCCACCCGGCAAGCATCTAACGAATGAATTCCAATCTGCCCGAGCTATGCTAGGAATACTAGGATCTGCATGGGCTCAGCCTTGAATCATGGCTGAGCAGGGAGGCCAGGCGTGCATCCCGATAGCAGTAACAGGCAGCCAAGTGCCAGAAGTGTGAGTACACCCCAGTGGACGTCACAGACAGGCTTGGGTTCCATTCCTGGCTCTGCCACTTTAACGAGCTGTGTAATCTGGACAGGCCCTTTACATTCTCAGGGCCTCCATCTTCCCATCTGTAAAACTGGATGATAAACCATCTCCTTCCTAAGACTAATGGAAGTGGGTTTGAGCAGGATGTCAGGAATTGAACCAAAGAACAAAACAAAACAAAAAAGGGACCTCTGGAGACTACGGCTGTAACACTATTCCAGGAGCTTTCTGTAGGTGAGGGAGCAGAGCAGAAAATAACCAGGAAAACAGGTGGGACCCAGAGCCCTGAGGACACAGAATACCAAAGGATTGTGCATATTATCACCGGTACAGGCCTGGGGGCAGCAAAGAAGCAATCAGAAAGATGACTGAACACAGATGGACTGGACAGAGAGGGAGATGATCAGGAGTGGAAGGCAAGTTAGAGGCTGATGAAATGCTTTAAGCAAGAGGAAGGAAGTACTAGCTGAAATAGCCTGGGCAGAGTTCAGACTGCAGCCACATTCATAGGAAGCGGGCAGGCCCTGGTAGGTGAACAGACAGGATAGACCAGAGGAAACCTGAACCCTGGACCACCAGAAGAGTGACATGTAGCAAAAAAGAACAGCAAAAAAAAAAGTGTGTGTTGTCACTGAATCTCAACATGGATTCACAACTAGTAAAAGTTGTACTATATAATCACCACCAGATATATTTCATTTGCAGTCCTAGTAATCTATCCTCCTTTAAAATCCTGTTCGTCCTTACCCTTTTCCTTATTCTTAAATCAGAGCCTGTTCACATTCCTCATCTTCAAAGTAGTCCTTCAATTCTCCTCAGGCCTCAACCCTTAACTAGACCAAAAGCAGGTTCCCTGCTCATCTCCCTGGATGGAATTGTCTCAGAGGAAAGAATAAAAAGAAATGTTTTCTGCCAGTTTGGATAGAATATTAGGAGAGAAAGGTAATGGTTGGAGAGTAACTAAATTACCACTCATCTCCTGGTGTCTATCCAGTCAGGAGTCTGACTTCTGGTGATTGTGGAAATGAGGCGTGAAAAAAGACCTGCCTTTGTCTCAGTGTCTACCCGCCTCCAAGGCTGGAACACGGGCTCCGGAGCCTGACCACTGCACGACCACATCTGAGCTCCTCTCACGGCTGTCTCACAGTTCACCTGGACTGTTAATCGTGCACTGACTTGTGTTTGTCACCTTTCTATTATTGCTTTGAAGAAATTACACTCCCATGCTGCCAGTGTAAGTTTTAGCTCCCAAAACTACTATTTCAAACTACTGAGGACTACTAAAGTCTTAACTATGTCCAGCACTTAGTATTCCAATGAGCACTTTTTCATTCACTTAGCTGTTCCTCTCAATACCAACACAAGGCATTTAATACAAGTGGTTTCAATGCTCTGGAATCCTAGAGACACTGATTTACATACCAAGTTCCCTATAAAGAATCCCTGCATTATGCCTTTAAGAACTCCAATGTTGCCGAAACCAGTTTGGCTCAGTGGACAGAGCCTCGGCCTGTGGACTGTACAGGCACATCCCCAGTAGGGGGCGTGCACGAGGCAGCTGATCGATGACTCTCATCGATGTTTCTAACTCTCTACCTTCTCTCTGTAAAAAATCAGTAAAATATATTAAAAAAAAAAAAAAAAAAAGGAAAAGAAATCCAATGTTCATGAAAGCCAGATGTCTTTGAGCAATAGGAACTCTATTTATAGTTCTCAGAATTTAGTAGCTCCCCAGTTCTAATGGACACATCTAAAGTCCTAGCCACAGACAGCATATTTCCCTATTTTTCTATTCACATATAAATTGTTACTCACCTATTGAGTTACCATTACCTATCTTCTAACTAGTACATTTTGGGTATTAAAGAATAGTTCTTTGTTTCCTCACTTCTACTTATTTAGCAACCCATCTTGACTAAACTACCTTAAACATTAAAGTTCCAAACTTGACATTAATAATAAGAATTACCTGAGGGGGGCTTGTTTTAAAAAAAAAATAATAATAAAGGCAGATCCTAGGCCCTTCCAGAGGGCTTATTTAGCAAGACCTCAGGCAAAGCCAGGAGTGCATGTTTAATAAGCACTCCAGAGAATTCTGGGTAGGTGTTCCGTAGACTACAGTTTTTGAACCGCTTCTTTAAAACCTTCTTCCTGTAGGTAGTCAACTGAGCTTATCAGTTCCTTGAAATAGGAATCTCGCTCCCTTTTCTTCTATAGTGCAATGAGAACAAGGGGAGTTCTGCTGTGGCCACTGTTACTTACTGAGGAGGAAAGGAGGCAACGGCAAAAACTATTAAGCGAAGGGAGAAGCCAACATTTGCAAAACCCCCTCTCCGTTATTTATATTGCCATCAGAGTACGAAACCTTAACCTTTCTTAAAGGTGTGGACTTTTGGATTTTAACACTAATCCTACAAGCACTCAATTCTCCACTAAATAAATGCCTTTCTTTACTCAAACCCAATGTTCCTTGAAGGTTTTCAAAACCCACCAGTTAGCCCCAATCGGGTGGAAATTCACAAACGTTTCAAACCAGTGGTCCTGATTTTGTGTCTCTTTCTCCACACCCTTAATACTCATTAAAAACCCAAAATAAACCCAATGATACAGAGCTGAGTGGTAAGTTTACTTAAAAGACATGTGCTCAATGATTTCATTGTGAGTTGGTAGTGTGCCTTTCATTCATGTTACTACACTTCCCTAAATGTCTGAAATGACCTATGACCATATGGAATTGAAAACATCAGATTATATCAATAAAATGGGTCCAAAGCGTATAAACATAGTGATTCTCTTTCCTCCCGTGGATGTTAAAAACCAAGGATCATCTGTGGAATTTATAGAAAGCTCAAACGCCCATATAACTTTTTAAGTGCAATTTTATGAACCAGGTGGAACAAAGAGGACAATCAGACACGAATATTAATAGACCTTTGTCTCATTTCCCCTGCAAACTCCAGGTCTGAGTAACACAATTTAGTTTAAATGAAGCAAAGAGCCTTTTTATCTCTTTATTGTCCATTAACTTGCTATTTGTCTTTGAAGTCCATCTGCATTTCCTATACCCGTTTTTTTCCCAAAAACGTAAATAAAATTTTTAGAAAAATAATAAAGATATAAATTAATTGCTAATACCTTCCTAAAGGCACACATATCTAAGCAGATTTTACATTTATCTGTGCCACAGGTTTACTTTCTCAGGAGGCACACTGTGTTCAAATACGAGTTCCGTTTCTTAAAAATCACATAGAGATAAACAGACAAGGACAAAGGGATAATTAGCAGAAATGTGTCAAGGTGGTGGGATTATAGGCCTTCTAACCTGGTAACCAACCCGACGTAGATCATCAATGGTACCCATGCCCTCGGCCAGCCTCCCAGCACTTTGCCAGTGCCATGGGGCATGACCTGTCCCTCCCTCAATGGGCCTATGGTAGCGTGCCACCACGCCGGCCACCGGCCAGAGGGCAGACTTCTCTTTCCCTCCCTTACAAACGCTAACCCAGGGCTAGAAAAGAGTCACCTGAAGAAAACTCAAACCAGCAACAAGCTCCCGGGTCGCTCTGCCCTGCACCGGGCTCTCTGGGGTCCCCTCCCAGAGAATTAACCCGGAGGATGGAGCCAAAAACGATATGCATTTCCTGGTCCCCTTTTCTCAGCAGTTCCCTAAACAAGCAAGTGTGCACTTCTCCTAGAAGGCCTTAAGTTATTCAGGTTTACTGGGAAAGAGGAAGGGACAAAAGGAGGGAAGGGACACGTTAAAAAAAAAAAAAATGCAGTTTTAGCCCAAACCGGTTTGGCTCAGTGGATAGAGCGTTGGCCTGCGGACAGAAGGGTCCCGGGTTCGATTCCGGTCAAGGACATGTACCTTGGTTGCGGGCACATCCCCAGTGGGGGTTGTGCAGGGGGCAGCTGATCGATGTTTCTAACTCTCTCCCCTTCCTCTCTGTAAAAAAAATCAGTAAAAAATATATATATTTTTAAATGCATGTTTAAAGGTGAGATGAGTTACATCTGCCCTTGGCCAGTTCGCTTTACACAGCGTCTCATCAACCTGGAATGACACGCGGGCCGGCCCGGCGGCGGCTTTGTCATCGCCCAGGACCCGCTCCTCGGGGTCGGCGCACGGCCCGGGGCCGCGGCTGCGAACGGCGGCGGCGGCGGCGGCGGGCGACCACGCGGGGCCCGCGCCGGCGCGGCGGGCGGAAGGAACGTTAGCGCCGCTCACCTACCTTCAGGGTCGGACCATGGCCGCCTAGCTCTCTGCGCGTCACAAACACAACGGGAAGGTCGGGCTCCGCGGTCAGCTCGCCCAGCGCTCCCTCGAGGCGCGACCCGTCCTCTGCGGCACAGAAGCGGAGAGGGCGCGGGTGAGGCGGGCGCCCGGGCCGCGGCGGGAAGTGCGCGCCGGGGGCGGGGCTTCCGCGAGCCCACGTGCGCGCCCCCGGGCGACCCGCGCCGCCGCCCGTGCAACAGCGCCACCTGCCGGCGACCTCGACCTGCGCCCGCGCCCGCGCCCGCGCCCGCGCCCGGGCTGGGATCCCGGACCCAGGACTTCAGACCCCCGGCCCCCGAAAGCTGGCAATGGCCTCGAGGCCAGCTACGAGCGCCAGCGCTCCGCTCAGACTCAACCAAGTCTCCCTTAAACATCCTCGTGCTGCCTCCCCGGTGCATCCGGAATGCAGGAAAGCCTCCACAAGGAAGCCTGAGGCGTGGAGAGCTTTGTAAAAACACCTCCCAACTTATTAATCTTCCCTTTAAACTCTGCATCTCTACCAGACGCCAAACTCCAACTTCCAACGTTTCTGTGAAATGTGAATCCATTGGGCAGGTTAACGAACACTTCCCAGTGAGGGTGATTTCTCTGCCCCGAGCAAGACTGCGACGCCCTCCATGGCACACGGGACCTAGTGGTCCAGTGTTACAGGTGAGCTCAGAGAGTGAGTCAGCGACAGAACTTAAAAGTCTCCAGTTACACTGATATCAGGCCCACTCATGGGACAAAGACCACACCAACGCTTAGGAGTATAGTTGTTTGGTAATTACCATAGCAGCTTAACACGCTTCCGTGGTAGCTTTGTGAAGATATGAACACAATCCTCACAACCTTCTCAAAGCAAGGCCCATCGGGTCCATTTCCCAGAGAGGGACACTGAGGCACACAACAGCTAACTCGCCCAAGGTCACACAGCTGGTCAACAGCAGATCGAGGGCCCGTCCCCGGGCAGTGTGGTGTGTGCTTTCATGCACTATCCTGTAATCGCCTGAAAAAAAGTCAGATCACAGCACTGGCTCCGCGCTCAGCTGTCCCAGATTCATTGCCCTAAGGCGAGCCAAACGGCTCTGAGCCTTAAACATGTCAATACATATATAATTTGCCAACCTCTCCGGATTTCTGGGGACTCAATGGTGTGAACATCCTGGGAAAGCGTCGTTCAGTGATTGCACCCTCTCAATGCTGTCGAGGGTCTATCAAGATCGTGCACTGAGCCCAAAACCGGTTTGCCCTGCGGGCTGAAAGGTCCCAGGTTCGATGCCGGTCAAGGGCATGTACCTCGATTGCGGGCACATCCCCAGTGGGGGATGTGCAGGAGGCAGCTGATCGATGATTCTCTTTCATCGATGTTTCTAACTCTCTATCCCTCTCTTTTCCTCTTTGTAAAAAAAAAAAAATTGATTTATATATATATATCAATAAAACATATTTTAAAAAACCGTGCATTGAGAAACAATACAAAAACCCATTTTCTCGGATATTGTGCAAGCCAGCTGTCTCCACCCAGAAGAGCGAAAGAAAGGGAACCACCAGGGGGCCGGTACCACTGGCTAAGCTTTCACTAACCGGGACTAAGCCGAGACCGCCCGCCGAGCAGCTCGCTGCCCCGAGAAAAGCCTCTCCCTCGCGCAGACACACCCGCAGCACCCGCTCCCCTCCCCGCGTTCCCAGGCACCCCGCAGGGCAGGCGGGGTTCGGTCCCCGGGTCCCCGGGTGCTCCGGCCGCTCGCTCGGAGCGGGGTGGCTGCCGGCGAACCCCAGGCTTACATGAACAGCGCTCCAGGGCCCCGGCCTCTCCGGTGCTCTGCGATGCGGGACTGCGGCGACCAGTGAGTGGGGCCGGCGGCCGGGCCCCGGCGGCTCCGGGAAGCCACGCCCTGCCCCGCGCGGGTGGGCCGGCAGCCAGAGTCAGGATGACACAGCAGAAACCCGCCGCCCGTGCAGCCCGGCCACCTACGTGCAGCCCTGGCTCAGCTAGCGAGGATCCCCTATTGGGGTGACGCCACATCCTCTTCCTGCCGATAGCGCCCCTCAACCCAGGAAAAGGACAGAAACAATTTAAGGACTGTTTGGAACCAGATTTCTAAGTAAGAGTGGGTTTTAAATGAAGAAAAACTGGACTATGCCCTAAGGCGGTGAGTCCAGAACTTTGCTGCCCAGTGTTATCGCGGGAGGATCTTAAAAAAAAACAAAAACACAAAAAACGCTGGCACCTGGTTTCCAGCCTCGGGTTGGCATGGGGATGGGGAGCCACCTGGGCATGAGGTTTTGTTTTGTTTTAACTCCTGGGTATTCTATAGAGTGTACAGCAAAGTGAGGGACCCATTGCCCTCAGGTAATGGATTAGTCAGCCTGGCAGTTCCCTAAAGGAAGTTACTAGTTGAGTCTACCCTGACTAATCCTCAGAGAAGTGACAAATTCCACCAGCACACAACTTCCCCTTACAGTTCTTCCTCCTTATCCCACTCAGGTTTAGGCTTGTCATGGATGTTTTAAGAAAACTAAAGAGTACACAACTCCAGCCATGCCAAGCCACCTGTAGCCACCCAAGTGGCCATGCTCTCTCATCCATCCATACTCTGTCATATGTTTACACTTGCACTAGTAGCCAGCTAGGTATGTTTGCTGAATAAATAAATAAGTGAATGTCTTCTCACCTCTTTGTCTGGATACCGCCAGACTGAAGCAGCTTACTTAGGTGAGAGGGTTGCTGGTTTCTTAAGGCTGTGAGAAACCACACTTACGACCTGACAGACAAACACAACCCACATTTTTTTTTTTTTTTTTTACAATCCACATTTTTGAGCCCCTTCCAATTCTCTCAGTTTCTGAACGCACGCGCACACACACACACACACACACACACACACACACACGTGTGTGCACTAACCTGACACTTTTCCTACATAATAACCATTATGAGTTTCCCCCAGAGCATGCCTTATCTGATTCTGGGGTCCTGAGAACAGACGATGGTCAGAGTACAATGTTTTAAAAAGCAAAGAATGAAAATTGTGTCAGAGAGAAAGCTGGGACTTAAGGGAAAACAGACTCTGTACTGACCATTTTATAGGCCTTGGCTCATTTAATCTCCACAATAACAGCCATGAATCAGGGTCATAAACTCCTCCTTCTTAAAAACATATAGAAACTACACCTTATTCAAAAGTCTTAGGAGAGGGACTTTACAATCATTTAACTTGAAATAAAGTACTAAAAGCAAGTGATAAGGACTGATTTCTAAGAACCCTGTATGACAGATAGGTCAGTGTTACCATAGTTAATATTTTCTAACGGCATACCAGAAAAGGCTAGTAAAGCATCTTAAGTTCACATTATTCTTAAATGAGCAAATTATAGTACAAATATCTATAATACTGCAGGTAGTGTTGTTGTTTTTTAAGTAAAAAAAAAAAAATCACCATTTTTAAAAACCTTCTTTGCTACTGTTAGGGAGCAGATGCCTTACCCTGGTCACAAAATAGAGAATTCCTCAGTGCTGGTTAATGGAAGAAGTGCCCCGTCTCATATTTTCCATGATGCAGCATTTGTCCTAGTTATACATTTTATGTTATTCCCTTTGCCTGACTTCTCTTCCCTCCCTAAGGGCCTACTCTCTCAAAGCTCATCTGAAATGTCACTTCCTCTGGGAGGGCTTCCCTGATTCTAACCCAGTGTTTATCGATCCTCCCCTTTTCCGTGTCCCCAAATAACTAAAAATAATCACAAGTCATCTAAATCCAAGAGAGCTTTGGGAAGGCAAACCTCTGTTTGATTTATCTTGTCACCTACTATATATAGTAAATACTCAAAAAATTCTTGAAAAGGCCTTCTATGTTCCTGAGCTAACATCTGAGCACTCTACAAACAGATCTATGCAGGTTTTGATGAAGGGTCTTATTGCATTGAACCACTATTCCTCCTACAAATAAGCCTCTCTCATCCCACTGAGCTAGAACAACTTTCTGATCGATTCTAGTCATAAATCAATAAAAATATATATATATTTAAAAAAAGACTATATGTGTGGGAGCACAGCTGCTCCTCCAACCTGCACACCCTCCTGACCCTGCTCCACTATGCTAACTCTTGGGTCCGAGTCCCTCTGCCGGGGGACTGGACCACCTTGGATGCTGGGTCTTTAAGAGTTTGCTCTATCCCAGAGGGTAGATGGGATAATAAATGAGAATACACTGGGTGGTCTGAGTAAACTAACAATTGTAATATGCCTGTGACGTGATGGCCCACCAACTGCACAGACGGGAAGCAAATAACAGTATGGGAAAACTGGGGAAGGCCTTAAAAAAGCAAGTGATATCTATAAGGGAACCTTATCTTGAGGAATAATGGGAGTAGAAGTAACCCCTAAGAATCTTTCACTACTTATGTGCCAGGGGTCTCTACATGACTCGTTTAATCCTCACAACAATCCAATGAGTGAGATACTATTATTTTCCCCGTTTTACGGCTAAAAAAAACAAAAAACAAAACAAAACAAAAAAAAAACCACTGAAGGATAGTGAGGATAATTATCTTGCCCATGATCACTGAGCTAATAATTGACAGAGCTGAGACTGCCACTCCACTCAGCTCTTAGCTCTTATCACAGTACTGTTCCACCTCTTGAACAGATTTTCTTCTGGGGAACAGCAGAAGGAAAGATACTGTGTTATTGCATGGTATACAGAAGCATAAGGGAAGACGAGACTATAAATATGTTAGATTCAGCTTGGGGTTCACAAGGCAGCTGGGGACTTAGCTCTTTTCCCTACATTCTCAAAACCATCCAGGCAGTACACCCATATCACAACATCACAAACTGAAATGCCAGGAAATGGAAGACTCTTGCCAAAGGTCACAAAGCAGGTGTGTTAGATTCGCCATATAAATCCAGGTGTGTCTATCGTTAAATCCACTGTTTGTCTTACAATTCAAAAGTGTATTCAGAGGTACAGACTAAAAAGGAGTAAAAGCAACATGACTTAAGGACAAAAAGAAGCATTAACTTTCTGACAATGTCCAGGGCACACTTCATGCGTGAAACAGCCACCCTGAAAACTGCTTGG